TATGTGCATACAAAATACACATAATACTTACAATGCAATAAAATCAAAGTACCAGCTAAACGACCTTAGGGAAGGGCATCAAAAATCGCATCAAATTCTATCAAATAAATAAAGGTCTACCGTACACCGAAAATAGGCCAGTTGGCAAAAAAAAAGTTAGTGGACACGGGAAGGAAGAGCAACCAAACAAACACACACATACAAACATCCGAAAACCCCATGAAATCCTTTAAGCGGCGTAGTTTTGCTACAATATCAGTAGCAGCAAGAGCACAACAATAAATACCAACGCCAGTTTACCGGAAGAAGCATATTGTACGGGTATCAGGAGCAACAGATTTCCTCAATGGTTTTAATCCTAAAGAGCCGTCGCACACTAATCCGCCACTCGAATGTGCTAACATGTGCGCTGCATCTACGACATCACCGCCACCACAACCAACTACCAGCTACCAACAACTACCAGCAACCAACAACAGCGACAACAACAGCGACTACAACGTCAGCATTGCCAATCTTTTAATGGCACTCATCGTTCATCGCGACTTTTCCGCAGCGGTTGCTTTGTCGGCGCTTACTTCATCATCATTAGCTGTTGACATACCAGACTTACCGGCGGTACTGGCGGTGCTGGCGGCATCGGCGCAATGGGGGTATTCATGCAACTCATTTAACGTTTGGTATTCAATTGGAAAGCATAGATTTCGCTTTTCACGACGCAAGAGGATGCGTGTTGGACGCATGAAATGTGAGTTTGCTGTTTGTATTCCCACGTCGGCTTTTAAACGTATTTGCGTACTTTTAAGACTATCTTTCATCATAGAGAGTTTTACTTAGCGAAATTTTACATTTGGGTCAATTACTATTATTACTATTCATGGGTATCAAGACAAGGTTCTTAAACAATGCGTTCCCTATATACCAAGTGCTATCCCTTAGGATATTAGTGTATGGTTGCCACTTATTTTCAATTTTACACAATTTATGTAAACCATCGCCATATGGATATCAAATGAAAGGTATTGGTGAGAAATTTGGTCCCAAAAAAAATATTTTCGATCAGGGTTTCCACGCTTCTATGTAATACAAATTTTTATTTTGTTAATTTCAATCAGCATTTTTCTTATGTACATATCATCACCTGAGTGGAAGTTCTGCCTATCTCAGAAAACTTTTCAAAAACGCCCTACTTTAGAATTTTATTGGAGAACGCCATATTTCAGTATTTTATTGAAAAACACCCTATCTCAGAATTTGGTTGAAAAACGCCAAAAATCGGTTATGCGGTAACATACACAAAAAAAAAACAAAAAAAAAAACTTAAAGAAAATTATGTAAAAAAAAATTATGAAATAAGCTATTAAAAATTAAATAATATTAAAAATTATGTTTCTTTTTAAAACAGAAAAATTTAAACATAAAAAAGATATAAAATAAGTTTGTGAAAACTAAATAGAATTAAAACCAAATATATATTTTTCTTGTAAAAGCAATTAAATTGAAAAGTTAAAAGCAAGTTAGAGCAAAAAATAAAGCCGACTTCAGTTCTCATATAAAATGTTAAGAGTTTCGTTAATTTCTTCATGATCCAATTATCGGATTTAAAACAAATTAGTAGGGCCCACTTCTGAGGTACCACCTTGTCTTTACAATTTATAGGAATCGGTTAAGCTGGTCCAAAGTTTTGTTGTAACATACATAAAAAAAATACAAAATTCCGACGAACCTTCTAATTGGAAATTGAATTCAATTAATTTCATAAAATTAATTAAAATTTTTAAAAACATTCCCCTTTTTAAAACAATAATATTAAAAAAAATAAACTAAAATAATTGAAATAGATTTCCCAAAACTACATGGAAAGTTAAAAACTATATATGTATATATACATATTCCTTTATAAAGCAATAAAATCTAAAAATTAAATGAAAATTAATATAAAAGGCGATCAAAAATTTAAAAAGAAGAAAAAACACCGCTTCCCTAGACACGAACCTCGGATATCCCGAATATTGCATCAGCGCATTGCTCCTCGGTCAATGCACTGTTGAAGCAGCGCGAGCAAAATTTTGTACAAGTGCTTTCTGTTTTTCACCATGAAAGTTGGCAAGGTGGCAAGGGAGCTTTTTTTGTAAGACCTTCATGCCAGAATAAACAAAATCTTTCAAACTATCTTGTCTGCTGTTTTTCCAATTGTGTAGCCAAAAACGTTCACCTATCTTAGCCAGAATTGCCAATGTTAAGCTCATTTAGTGATTTAACTATGGAGGCCAAAAAGTTTTCATATTAATTTGCTGGGGATTGAACGCCAGACCCAAATAACCGCCAATTCCCCCTAAGATGTGCTCATGCTACTCCATACCTAAGACACAAGCAAACTCGCTTCTGATACTAGCCAGCGCAAATTTGCATTTATTTTTTTATTTTATTTTATTTTATTTTATTAGGGTGGCCCTTAAAAATGAAATTTTAAGTCACACCCCCTCAGTCGCTAATACAACGGTCAAAGATATCACATATAAATTTTAGTCCCGATTGGAGACGGTTAAGGCGTGTCGCACAGGGGTGAAAGTTCAGATTCTTCTATGGAGACATAAAATATTTAAATAAATTTGTTTCCATTTAATACCCAAAATCGATACTACTGTAGGCGCAGATATCACGTATAAATTTTGGTCCCGAGGGGAGTCGGTTAAGGCGTGTTGCACAGGGGTCAAAGTTCAGATTCCCCTATGGAGACTCAAAAAATATAAATCAATTTTTTTTACGCCTTACCCTACTCAAATCGGGACCAAAATTTATATGTGACATCTTCGACGTTAGTAGTATCGATTTTGGGTATTAGATGAAAAAAATATTAATTTTAATTTTTTGAGTCTCCATAGAGGAATCTGAACTTTGACCCCTGTGCGACACGCCTAAACCGTCTCCGATCGGGACCAAAATTTCCGTGTGATATCTTTGACTATATTAGCATCGATTTGGGGGTTGACGTTTAAGAAATCTGATGTAATAATGTACTTAATACATTTAAGGACCACCCTAATGTGCATATGTAGTGCAAATAAACATCGAATCTTATGACACTTTCAATCCAATTAGAGCGTTTATGAGTTGCGCGAAACTGAGACCGTGAAACAGCAGAAATTAATAGAGCGATGATCACAAGAAAATAGAAAACAAACCACGAACGTCTGTTGGGCAAATAACGCTTGTCATCCTGGAGAGTTTAGAATAGTAAATACAGAAAAGTATACATTCATATATGTACATTCACCAAAATACATACATACATATCTATAGTAAATATGTATGTACACAAATGTTTGTAGATATTACTAAAATCGCCGCTTTAACTTTCCCACGGCAGCAGACAAGTCAGCACTTGCAAATGATTGCCGATTGAGGTCAGACGCTTTGTTGGAAGCATTCAGAGCTGCATAAAGCACTTGCCAATCAGTTGAACAGAAGATATACAGAGATTGTTCCTAAGTGCTAACAAATGACCAAACAGCAAATCGACCGCGTGTACAATGGACCAGCAACGAGCGAACGCTGCATGAGCTGTTATGTAGATAGCAAGCAGGACATACATACATATGTATGTACGTATCCTGTCAATTTTCTAGTACTGCCTACAAAAATAATAAAAAAAAAAATCCATGAACCTAAATACAAAACTTAGCCGCAACAAGTAACTAGAACTAGAAAATTTGCTGAATATTTTGGTTTGAAAATTTTCTCACGGGAAAGTTACACTCATTTGCACGGCAATCAAATTGGGGTTTTCCAAAAATGGCGCACATATTGTGCGAAATTGACGTGTGGACGAGAAGCGCTCGTCACTCTTAGGAAATTTTCATAGGCACAACATTTAGAAATGTGGAAGGACATGTTCACAAACATACATACATACATACATACCTGCATTTACTTGGTGTACTTAATATGTGTACATATGTATTTATACACATGTGCCTATGCTAGCGGCGCTGTGCGCTATTGTGGGAATGTCCTTTTCCTTCCTCAATACTAACTAGTAACACTTGCGGAAGCATTAAAATGTGAACACGTCACTCAATTGTGTGTACCTGTAAACACTGCGCAGATCAGCGCAAAAGTCAAATTCCCACGCAATGGCAGCAGCAGATAGGCTGAGGTGTAAGCCTTGAGGCACTGAGGTTTCTAAGATTAAAGGTGTTCCCACTGTCTTTTCGCTAACACAGTATGATAGGCGACCATATGTATGCAAGTAAGGAGACTCTGAAGATAAGGTAAATGTAAATACATACGTACATATGTATGTACGTAACATAGTACGAGTATGTGAGCACGGAGAAGGTTCGAACTTCTAAATAAGTAAGCATATGTTGTTAAATTATTCTTTAGCTGCTACAATTTATCCTGCCACTTCAGCGCCTATAGAAACTTCTTAGTGATTTTACCACAAAAAAATATATATATATACATATATATAAAACCGAAAGTTCATGCAACTCTTATTGCCACCACCAAATCCATTCACCACCCTTATCCTATCTCTTATCGGTGCTGCTTTAGCGCCGCTCGCGCTGATAGCTGCCTTGCTTTTATCAGTAATTGCACACCACATTCGCCCTCACCCTGTCACTGTGCTTAATTTACAGATTAAAGCCCTTAAAGTAAACACCAGCCAACCATCAGAACTGCTGCAAGGCGGTAAGTGAATTTTGTGGTTGAAACTGGTATGTGTCCTTGCTAATTTTTATCCGGATTGCTACTACCTACATACTTATTAACCCAATTACAATGTTAATGTGCAATACGCAATTGGATTTGCGAATCTTTATTTTTATGAGCGTACTAAAATAGTATTAAAGTGAAGTTTTTGTGCTACGAATTAATTGTGTACAAAAAGGATATCTGAGTGCTTAAGAAAATATTGGATATAACAATTAAAGCAAACATAACAAAAGCAATTAGGCAGATTCTAGAACAAAAAAAAAATACAGCAGATTAGAAGTAGAATGTTGTTCAAGTTTTCTATTTATTCATAGCCCGCTTAAAGCATAGATTCTCAACATGGCCCACTTTAAGGTAAATCTTTTGTTGAGCCCACTCAAAATTATTTTGCCTTAAACATAACTTATGTGTGCAACTTTAGCCTTTTACTTTAAAGTAGAAAGTGCACATACTTACTGAAAGTATGTAGGAAAAGTTAGCCGCAGATTCACACCGACTTTAAAGGCTCTCATGTTTCCCCTAGGGATTTTAGGCCTATCAGTCTATCATCGTTTTTGCTAAAAACGCTCAAGAGACTGATATACCTTTATATAAGAAACGCGATTACTCGTGACTGTCTTTCAAGAGCTCAACATTCTCATTATAAGAATACCGCCCTGCACACATTGTTAAAGTGGTTAGAGGGAGCCTTCACGCATAAAAATTATGCAACTCCAGAGGCAACAGTCAAGTCTATTCATAATCTGGAGATTGAAACCAACCTAATAAGGCTCATCTACAGCTTACTTCGTGACAGGACTGTCGCAGCGGAGTGAGGGAGGGTTTGTACCAAGCGCAGAGTCAATAGTGGCACTCCGCAACGTGCTGTTCTCTCTGCCCTGCTCTGAATTGCGGTTATAAACGAGCCAGGTAACTAGGTGGACGATCACCAGCGATCTCAGCAACACGGAACTGGTTTTGTTTACCAGGAAGTACAAGATACCCGTTGTGGCCCTATCCCTCGAGTAGGGATGTTCGTCTGCGGCTCTCAGACAGGGTCAAGTACTTAGGCTCGATCCTGGATAGGAAGCTGTCGTGGAAGCCTAATAGAGAAAAGGGTAGGAAAGTCGTCGGTTGCCATGTACTGCTGTAGGGGCTAGTTCTTCTTCTTAACAAGGCTAGTTTAGGTGCCGGGCCACATTGAGATCACCGCAAACTGCGTGGCTGATGGCCTGACATTGGAAACACATGCTTTAAACGTTATCCCTAGATAAGGAGCAACTAGGGACGTGGTTCTGCTGCAGCAAATGTTTTTATAGAGCACTTTAAAATACTTTTTGCAGCCCAAGACACGAGTGCCCTATTGTTAACTGCCGAAAAACCCGTCAACTCTCAAGGGCTATTGATGGATGTTGCGACAAGCTATTGCGCGATTGGTATTCATGCGGGAAGACTAGGAATTACAACTGATCCTTTTTGTATCAGCTGTCAAGAGGAAAGTGAGGTCAAATCATCTCCATGTCATTATGTCCAACCTTCGCGTGGCTTAGATGAAAGCATTTTGGCTCGCACTTCCTAACTAACACTGAGCTCTCAAGGATCGAAATTAGCCGGATTCGAAATTTGGTAATCGGCTTGCGGCGTTTCGCCGACTAAATAAAGAGTCTCCGTTCAGTTTTTTCGTGGTGTCATAAAGGACAATCTCTTAAATGTCCAAGTATGTCCCTTGCCTGGGGCCACCACTTTAACTTAACCCAAACTAACCTGTACTTCTTTGAGCTATTGTATAGTTGGTCACATTTAAGTATGAACTATATTTTTATAAAAAATTTGCGAAAAAATTTAAATAAAAGAAATCGCATAGATTGCGAAAAATTCCCTGTGAAAAGACTTAAGCACAACGCTGTATTTCAATAAATAATACAGTGTTGGAAATAGGCCTAAATCTACCAGTGTCCGACGGCATAAAACTGATAAATAACGATCGACACCTGTGAATATTGAACTTTAAAGCCACCATATTTGCAACAATATGCGTCCATACACAAAAGGCCACAAAATGTCCATTTTACAAATAAAATCTGGTATGGTGCTTTTAAAAAAAATTGAACATGTCTGCAGTTTACGTACACGAGTACTTACTACAAGGCAAGGCAAACTAATTTCCGACCAAATTTAAACTTTAAACAAGAAAGTATTTCCAGCTCCTTGCCCGTCTGCCTACAATGGTATGAAAACAAGCCTAGCATAAGTAGACATACATGCGTGCACATGTTAGGCTTTTATGTATTTTTGCGCCTTAATACAAGCTACACTAGCTAGCAGTTCAAGAGTATTTTCCAAAATAATTATGCATATATTTAGTATTTGCGTTTGCCAAATAAATACAGACTACTGTGTATGAAATTTCCACTAACAATAATTCGTCAACAATTCAAAAGTAAACTTTAATGCTTAATGTACAAAGACAATGTACACACACATATCCAACATATGTACATATATATATGTACATTAGGGCGGGTAAATTTTCTTTTTTACTATGAGCGTATAAAATATTAGGATTCTACATGTAATTCTAAGCAAATTTGCCGAAGAAACCCTGGATCTAAAATCAATTTTGAGTGTGCCAAATTTTGAAAACAGATTTCGAAGAAAATGTGAAAATTTTCACTGTTGCGCCCTCCGGCGAAAGTTTTAAGAAAAAGATAAGTGCAGAAATGGATTCCGCATACAAAAAAAACCCCTTCAAGTATGTTTTTATACAAAATGTAAGCACTTCTTTAAGACACCACCACAGCAAAATGCTAAGAAACCTATTTTCGCAATTTGGCAAACTGCAAATTGCTTTTAGACCCATGGTTTCTTCGGCAAATTCGCTTAGAATTGCACGTAGAAGCCTTCTGTGCTATACTCGCATAGTCAAAAAAAAATCGCCCATGTAAATTGATCCGCCCTAATATACGTAGATACATATACGCAGTGTACATCCAAAAGCAAATAGCTATGCCCTCAACTGGGCTAGGGTCTACTAGGCAAAGCTATGTATTTCAGTTTGAGTGGGTGTGCGTCTGTGTTGGTGAGTGTAAGTGCAAACGGCATCGACAAATATGCATCATAAATACCAAAAATCTCGAAAATATCACGTAAAATCGATCAGCAACAAAAACCCAATTGTTCAACAATGTAGCTACAATTTGTTTAGTAGCAGCGGCAACAACGACAAAAATGCAGTCAAGCCTTAAAACAACAACAGCAAACAAGAAAGGAGGGAAAATATACAAATGACAACAACAACATGAAATAGTAATTTACATTAACAGTGTTGCAAAAGGCTTTTAAAATGGACAGAGGGAAATTCAAACATGCATGTACGATGTATGTATGTATGTATGTATATATGCTTACCTCCAGATATGTACATACATTTTTTAAATTAATTGCTGTGACTTACGAATCCTAAATTTTCATACAACTCACCTTTTTGCTTTTACATATGTATGTACGTATGTATGTACCTATTCATAGCAGTATTTGCTCATTTGCCAAAGACAAAAAAAAAGTTCCAGGAGCCTGTAAATAAACAGAGCAGAGGCCCTAAAGCAAAAGGGAATTGGAATACATATTTGTGGGTATGGCGTCGTGGCAAAATTATGCATAGGTATGCGTAAGTCGTTATATACATATATGTACATATATTTTTAGATTATTAAAATTCACTTTTCACTATGTTCGTATATGCTATGTTCCGAAACCGGTCATACAAATTTCAAAAAAAAAATGTTCGAGAGTGTGTATTGGTGGTGGCCTACTTAGAAGATAGGGTACTTAAGAACCCGTTAGTTCTGATTTTAATCATATCAGAAATACATACATGCATAACTCCAGTTTTGCCATTTTTACAAGAGCGAAGAAAAACTTGCAAAATTTTCATAACAAAATGTTTGCGTATTTAAAGCAAAACATAACTTCGTACGAAGCGATAGATTTCGACGTGAACACAGATTTGCTGTATTCTCTTAAAAGGAGGAGCTTATCTATACGGCATGTATATTTGCTAATTTTATGTTTGCTCTTTGTTTGTGAACCGATTTGAATGATTCCTTGGCCTTAGGCTAAGAACCTCCCCACAGAGGTCCGATTTAAATTTTTTCAAAAATGGGCGCCGCACCGCCCTCTAATGATTATGTACATATATCTCGATAACCAATTTCGAAATCGAAAAAGTAACGGTAATTTTCAAAAATATAAAACTTAATATCCACTAGGTATTAAATGACAAAGTTTTTAATGACAGCGTTGGGCATTAAAAAATACTCGTGCCATTATAATCTGGTAGTTGTTCTTCATTTTACTTTGTTGGCGTATTTTTCTCACCTGGTTACTTTTGCAACAAAATATGGTCTCGCTGACAATACATTGGATGCTTTAATTTTTCTTAAATAGATCGAATATTTTCAGCCCAAATAACAAAAATAACGTAAATTTGATAATTCTTGAGTTGATACTTAAGTATTAAAAATTTATTTTTTGCGTAGTAATTCATTTTTGTGTTGTTTTTTGCAGTTAGTTCTTTCTTTTAATCAGCTTTGGTTTGTTGGACCTAGCATCTTTTCGGAAACGATGTATTTTCAATAAAACTAGGAGTGCCAGTTACGGTCGAAATTCGACCGTTCTTCTGGTTTTTAAGATCCTTGGAGAGATTTCCTAACTTAGCACGTCGTTTAACTTATAATCAATTTTTTATATCTTTGAAGGCCTTTGGAGGACTTTGGCAAGACTTGGAGTATACCCGGTATATTCCAATTTCTCGACAATTTGATACATAACGACAATTCAATGAATATCAAAAACACTAAAATCCCTTAACCCAACAAAGTTCGACTAATTCATAAATTTGGATAACTCGATAATTTTGGATACATCTATAAATTTCGATTACTCGGTTAATTTTGATAGCTCCATATTTTTAGAAAGCTATCAACCAATTTCTCTGGTAGCACGATAAAATTCGATAAGCAGTGATAACTCGATAAACTTATATATCCTTGAAATTTCGATAACTCGATATATTTTGACAATTTCAAAAGCTTCGATTCGATAAATCGACAATTTTCAGTAAATTAATAAATACCGATAGTTCGATAAGTTCAAATACTCGATAAATCTCGTTAACTCCATATATATTGATAATGCTATGAATCGACAACAAATTTTCTGTTTCTATAAATTTCGACAACTCTATGAATACTGATCAAGATGAATAAGTATCCATGTTGCGATAACTCGACAAATGTGGATAACCATCGATGATTCGATAAATTTCTGTAACTTGATAATTTTCGATAACTAAATTTTTTATAACAAAATTTATTTCAATTCCTTTCGAAAAAACTAAGTGCGCCCGGCCCAGACTAGAGAAGTGAAACTTACGTTACATATCTAGAAATTGTGCTAGTTAATGTAATGTTATAAGCTTAAAGTTATACTTTGTCTTTTTACTATCTTTATCCCTATTGATATCCTTTTCGTTATTATTACATTTATATTAATCTGTTTGCCTTTATCTTTATTTGTATACTTTCCTTTATCCTGATATTTGTCTTTTTTATCTTTCATATACATACAAATTCATCCTACCCTTTGTCCTTAGAAAAGTAAAGTGTTTTTAAATTTACCTATGCACCTAGATGAGGTGAGGTGTGATGACGTGATAAGATGTTATGTGATGTTATATCTGGTAATGCGATGCGATGTGATGTGATAGGATGTGATGTGATGGGAAGTCATTTCATGTGATGTTGTGTCATGTGATGTTATGCCATATGACGCCATATAATGTGGTGTCATGCCATTTGATATCATGTCATATATCATATTATGTGATATCGTATCATGCGATGTCCAGTTATCCATATCATATCATGTGATTTAATGTGATGTGATGCCATATAATGTGATCACATGTCATGTGCCGATTATTATATCGATAACACTGTCGATAAATATAACAATTGCAAAATCGTTTAATTTATCGATAATTGAATCGATAACAATATAGATTATTATACTGATAACAATATCGGTTATTATATCGATAACAGTATCGATTATTATATCGATAACAATATCGATTATTGTATTAATGACAATATCGAGAATTATATCGATAACAATATCGATCTCCATCCTCATCTTTTTCTTGATATTTATCTTTATATCCTAATTCTTATGTTTTCTCATTTTCGTCTTTATCTTTAATTTTGCGTTCACTTTTTTGTTTTAATCGTTTTCATTTATTTCTTCAGCATCACGTTTATCTTTATTGCATTCGTAGATGAGCCCACCCACATTTCCATTTCCATTTGTTTTCCATTAATATGCAAGTAAAATGTTCGTAATGTACCAATATATCTTCTGTTTTTTTTTTATTCCATTCATTTATTATTTTAAGCTTTTTCAGTGTTGTTGTTGTTTCGTTATTATATTTTTTTTTTTGCGGCCACCGTTAACTCATGATTTCTACGTGATGTTTATATGAATTCACTTTGTTATTACATTTGAACTCAAGAACAACAGCTACACGTTGAAGCATAAATTCTTAATAAAAGAGTTAAGAAGAAAAGGCAAACAGAGAGAAAATTAAATGTAATAAAATGAGAAAAAATATTACATACATACATATCTACCAAATTAATATTAATGTTGGTTTATAGCAAACAACACCAAATTAAAACCAATGCCAATTTAATTTCACAAAGTGAGCCACCAAATTCAAACCAATAGGAGGATCTATTCACATACATAGCTCTAAAGCAAGTTGAGAACTAAACACAAGGATTTAACTCAGGTAGGGCGAAGTGTACACAATTAAATTTGAAAAAATAAATCTCATTTACATACTTTGTATATGTATGTATATAAGGAATAAAGCCAAGTTGTTTTTATATATGGAAGAAAACCGTAACATCTTCGGCAAACAATTTTTAATTAATTAATAATTAATTTTTAAACACTTAAAATTTGCACACTTCTGAGAAAAAAGTTTGAAATTTGGCCGAAAATGTTTCGATATTTTTTTAGTTTTCAACAAAGTTTTAAACTTGGGTTTATGAGGGTTTTCTAGAGAATGAACTACATATATTTTAATTAAAAATTCATAACATTAATTATCATTTTCATTATTATCAATTTATCATTTAATTATCATTTCGAATTTGGTTGCAAATGATATGACCTCTACCGTATAGGTGTAGATAGCTACTACCTACACGTGCGTACTTTCTGTTGACCATTAACTTATCTCAAACGTATTTGAGTTCTACTTTATTTTTAAACTCAGGTTATTCAAGCGCCCATATGATTCGCATTCTTATTATTGTTTATGTGTGCATTTAGTAATCAATACATGTCGTACATACATTGTTGCTGCTATCGCTGCTGCGATATTTCGCAGTTGCCATAGTCGTCATCCAAAATAGCCGGCTGTAAAGCCATAGCCAGCCATAATCGTTGTAGCCGTCACTTGTTGTACAATATGTTCGTATGTATATAGCAGTATGTTGGAAAAAAATCAATAAAAGTCACGTTTTACAAAACATCAGGTTTCATAGATATTCAGAGACTCAATGTGGCATTGCAGCGTAGCCAAATATCGAGTTAGAGAAAACAAAAACAATTTCAAGAAATATACATACATACCTACATACACACAAATAATAAAAAAAAAACATTAAGAAAAATTCACAAGTCTGATGATTTGCAGAGTTTTCATTGTACATACATATATATATACCTAGATGTACTTATGTATATTGTACATATTACTTACTATATATGAATCTACATAACAAGTGTAACAAATAATTTACAAGAATGTAAGTTATATGTACATATTTACATACATACATATATTTTAACTATCTATTTTTAATAAGTAGATAACCATCCAGAAAAAAGGTCAAGTTCAAAAATTCGAAAATATTGTATTGCACACGTACATATGTATTTATGTATGTACATTAGACTGCATCACCAAAAAAAGTTGCGGTTTTTCCACCGGGATTACAAAATTTATTATATTTTAAGACGTCCACCAAAATATTTCGGAAAAATATTAAGATTTAAGCGGGCTGGACCGATTTGAAAATACCTCCAAAAATGAAGTTTTTTATGAATAAAAATAGTTTCTTAAAGAACTTTTTGAAAAAAGTCCCCTCAGATCACAAATTAGATTAAGCTTAAAAAATCGGCATAAAAATATTTAAAAATCTTTTCAAAGGAATCGTAAGAATGAGATTTTTGATGCTGTTTTTTACTTTTTTCAAAGATTGGTTTACGAAAAACTTGAATAACTGAGCTAAAAATGTTCTGATTTAGACTTATGGCATCTCAGTAGAAAGGTATTTTCACACTGTTTTTATTTCTGGACAATAAAAAACGTCATTCGTGTCCCATCTTGTTTTTTTGAATACCAACACATCTTAATTCAACTTTGAATGACGTTCGTTCATCATACCTTTCTCTTCCATCCTTTGAATAAGTTTATTAGCAAATAAATGAAAAGGGTGAGAAAATACCTCTTAAGTCTAAATCGGAAGAGTTTAGGTTCAGTTATTCAAGTTTTTCCTATACCAATCTTTAAAAAAAGTTAAAAAACAGCATCAAAAATCTCATCATTACGATTCCGTTAAAAATTTGTTTTTAATTTTTTTTTAATATTTTTATGCAAATATTTTAAGCTTAAACCGCTTTATCATTTGAGGGGATTTTTTCAAAAAAAAATCTTTAAGAAACTATTTTTATTCATAAAAAACTCGATTTCTGGAGGTATTTTCAAATCGGTCCAGCTCACTTAAATCTTAATATTTTTTCGAAATATTTTGGTGGACGTCTTAGAATATAATAGATTTTATAATTCCAATGGAAAAATAGTACCTATTTTTTTTTTGTATGGGGAGTGATGCAGTCTAATATACATACATACATGTCTATATATGTATTAAAGTTTATTTGATAAAGCTTAAAGTTCTTTTGTTTTCGCAAACTATTCTTCTTCTTCTTTATTTGGGCTTGTAACCGCCTAAGCGATTTTGGCCGAGTCCAATAAAACATACCAGTCATTTCACTACTTTGCCAATTGACACCAATTGGAAATACCAAGTGAAGCCAAGTCTTTCTACGTCTGGTCGTTCCTACGCATAGGAGGTCATCCTCTTCCTTTGTTACCAGCAGTTCGACCCGCGCTGCTGAAGCGTTTCTGTCCGTTTGAACGACATGACCTAGCCAGTGTATCCGCTGGGGTTTTGATTCGCTGCACGAGTCTATACCTAATACAGACTGTATAGCATTGTAGAGCTCATACAGCTCATCGTTAAATCGTCTGCGGAATTCGCCATCGCCAACGAGTTTTTACGCAGAATTTTTCTCTAGAAAACTGTACAGTCTTGTAAAGTATTTTGCCTGAGCGGTACAGTTCTGCGGCTCTTATGATCTTCTCCACCATCCGATTAAATAAATCACATGAAAAAGAGTCACCTTGTCTGAAACCTCGTTTGGTATCAATCCGCTCGGAGCGGTCGTTCCCAATTTTGACGGAATTGGTGGTATTGCTCTACGCTACTTTAAACAGCCGTATTAGTTTCGCAGGGATACCAACTTCTTCGTGCTGTCGAAAGCGACTTACTTAGAAATCGACAAATAGATGGTGTGTGTCGATCCTATTCTCGCATGTCTTTTTCCAGATTTGGCGTATTGTAAATACCTGGTCTAAGGTGGATTTGCCAGGTCTAACGCCACACTGATAAGGCCCATGCAGTTCGTTGACGGTGGGCTTCAGTATTTCACACAATACTCTCGATAAGACCTTGTAACCAATTCTTAGAAGGCTGATCCCGCGGTAGTTGGCGCATATGCCGGGATCGCTTTTTTTGTGGTTTGGGAAGAGCACACTTAAATTCCAGACGTCGGGAATGCGTTCATCTAACAACATTCTGCATAACAGTTGATGCGTGCACATTATCAAATCCTTTGAGGTTTTTCAAGCGCCCTATTGATATTCATACCTCGCCATAACCAGGTGGTGGAACATCAACTCCGTCATCATCGACTGGGGGCTCAGGCTCATCTTCTTCACTACTTTCCGCGCTGTTACCATTCAGTAGGGTGGAAAAGGGTTCCCTCTATAATTTAAGTACGCTCTGAACATCGCTCACTAAGTCGCCATTACTGTGCTTACAGGAGTTCGCCCTGGTCTTGAAACCTTTCCGTAAGTCTTCAAACTCTCTGATAAAATTTTCGGGCCAGCATCTCAAGCTCTTCGCACTCATACAATTCGGCCTCTCTCTTCTTATTGCGACTAATACGTGCCACTTCCATCTTTTGTTCCTCATAACGCTCCCACGCGGCATCTTTTTTCTCTGCATCTTCTTTACGCGCCATCGTGGTCCCCTCAGGCACGCTGAAATCCGACTACTTCGGTACTTAATAATCGGGAAATGTGATTCCACTACTCGCGTATATCGAGAGTAGAGTGGCGAATAAATTGGCCGGCAGTTGTGATTGCAGTTAAACTTTCCCTTATAGCGGTTGATTATCCAGTCATTTTTTAGATGAATGTACATACATATATCGGGCACTAACCGCCCAAAAGAAGTAAGCGATATTTTTTTCAAAACCGTTTGATGCAGAAATGCATCTAGATAATCTAGGAGTGTTTCTGCGTCAAAATTTAAATTTCGAAAAAATATCGCTTACATCTTCTTTGGCGGTTAGGGTTCGATATGTAATACATATCTCTTGAGGTAAGGACATTATTATTTATGCTATTTTATATAATCAACACAGAGACTTTGTTTGTTAATACGTATGATTAAACATAAAAATTGCAGACATTTTCAATTTTTAAGCCCACAGAAGTTTTGGTCAAGCCTGTATACCCAGACCTCTTTCTAAGAACCCATATGGACGGGCAATTGCGCTACATTCCTTCATTTATGTGTACATTTGTATGTATGTATGTAAGAGCAGCAATACGTTTTCGTACGGAAGTAGTGCTTAAAAAACCAGTTAGAATAGAAATGCCTCAAAGTGGAATACATTTGAGAAGGACGCCCATTGCTCGTTCATTTTCATTCTGGCTATGGAACAACAAACAATATTAACACAAAACGTAAAGTATGTACATACATATGTACACAGTCATTGCCTAGTGAAATGAGTAAGTTGATATGTAAATACATACATATGTATGTACATATATGTATACATACATACTTATGCTGGCCGGACGATCGGTTCATTCACCAGCCACTTATGGAAAAAAACTGGTTTTCAAGCCAAGTGCCACCAAGTAAGTCTTCTAGTGCATATGCCTACAAGAATCAGGGCAGCGGCAGAGACAATGACAATTAAACAACAGCCGCAACTGCAACACAACAAAGTCGCGACGGCATAACACCGAAACAGCAACCGAAACAGCAACAACATGCCACCATTAACACAACCGCCAGCTCCAACACAAACATTGTGCAACGAACAGCTCATTGGCTGTCCAACCCGCAATACACTCACACATACACCTACGAACACAAACACACACTCACACATTTTAACAGAAACACATACATACATTCATACACAAACAAGAGCATAACAGCCGCGCAGCTGCCAACTGCCAGCTGGAAAGTCAAACTGGAATTTTTTGGAATATTTTGTTTCGTTTCACTTTCGCATTCGTATTGGTATTCGTCTACACGTTTATACGCATTTGTTGTTATTTGTATGAGTGTTGTTGTTGTTGTTGTTGTTGTTGTTTCCATTGTTGCTGCATTTGTATTTGTACAGCATGTCGTGTCTCGACGTAAGCTCGTCAACGCCCGCCACTGACGCTGTCATGTTGTGTGTTTGAACGCGTAAATAGGTATGTCTGTATGTACG